CTGAAAAAACCTGCATTTTTAAGACAAAATAAAAATAAAACAGTGTGGTTTAGATTTTCCCTCTCAATATCGATAAATAAATCCAGCAGTGATAGTTTGACATACGGCTTATGAGTTAAAGATGAAGTAAAAGGCTAAAATAAATGTATTTATACTACTCAAAACATTTATTAATAAAACTAAAAGTGCAAAAAAAAATTTATCATATTTTCGGATTCTTAATTTTCCCTTTAAGGACAAAAATACTGGATTTAATGATTAAAGTTCATTTAACAAGTAAAATACCTTTCAATTGACAGAGATACTTTGAGAATGGCATATCATGCTTCAATGATTGTTACGTGGGCTGTACTCTAGCATCAATGTCTGCAATATTCTGATCGAAATATGCTTAGTGGCCTTCATTATCCCGTACAGAAGACACGAGAGTATTTATAAATTTCAAAAATCAAATTAGAATGGAAATATAACTCCGAGAACAACTCTACTGACCCTAAGCTACTATGCTTGAAGCTACAGATTTTTTTTAAATGATAGTTTTAGTGTACTTTTTGTCGAAATGTGCAAGTTTTAAAACGTTATATATAAAACAGAGGGGTCGAGTAAGGTTGTGAAACACTTTTCAGGGAGTTAGAGAACAAAATTGCATTGGAAATTAAACCTTGAAGTGTCGTCGGACGCAGGTAGGAGCACTTCCTTCTTAGGACCTGTTCAGAAGCACATAAAGAAAAAGTCGATAACGCTTGGCTTATGACGACATTTCCGGGCATGGGTCCCTATGTTGTTTTAATCCTGATGATCAGCCCCAACTCTCCTAAAAGTTTGTCTCAACATTTATGGTACCGCTTGTCATGTATATAGCTTTTTTTAAATAAGTACATTTCAACAAAAAATGGACTAAAAATGTCATTTAAAAAAACTGTAGATTGAGGAGAGAAACTGATTGCAGATTTGAAATCAGTGATGTGAAAATATCTCAGATCCCTTAAATCACATGTAACAAAAAAAAAATTTCCTCAGTGAAGAAAACCAACAACAAATGTATAGTTTGAGATTGTCTTTAAAATATTTATGGGAAAATACACGTTTGCTAACAAAAATTAACTTTTGATGCTTTAACTATTAAAACACATATGGTGAAACTATCCCAAAGATAAATAAAAAAAAGCGTTTCCATAATAAACTAATGGTATGAAAGCTAACAATACAACACAAAATAGTAATAAAAAAATCGGTGTTCACAACTTAAATTTACACAGAAAAAGCCATTGCTGATTGAGTTAAAACCTGATTAGCACTTATAATAGTAAAAGATTGTAAGAGTTATCTTTAAAGATTTAATGAATCGACTTACATCAAAAAACACGCAAAAGAGGAAAAAATGAAATTTGAGGATTAAGATCAATGTTAACAAAGCAATTACAAATAAAATTCCAATGCAACATTAACTATCATTTACCTAGTGAGAAACTAATTATCTAATCATACTTATGTTTAAATAGGTACGCTTTAATCATCGGAAAAGTTTAATGCAATTTCTGATATATATAGATAAATAAAATACTATGTATAAAAATGTACTTACAAATTATGAAAACATCTTTTAAGTGGATGACCTTAAACATGAACTTAATGAAGCAACTAAATCAAATTTCGCAAATTTTTCACAGTACCATTGCTTTATTCTTTTTGTCTATTCAATCACGTATAACACAGCAATCTCTTGTGCTTTTACTGTATATAAGCTAATGCAAATTAGTCTATAAAAACCAAACTACGCAAAATCTCATTATGCACTAAACTACACCAAACCATTCTTAAAAACAATGTACAAAACAATAGGTTTAATAAAATAAGCTAAGTCAATAGTCTGAACCAAATCAAGTTTAATTAGTTATTTTGCAATAAAGCGAGCCAACCAAACGCTCTATCATGAGGAGGTAGCAGGTTCAAGTATTGCCATAACTTTGCTGTATTTTTGTGCTGCCCTTCTCCAAATTTTATTATATGTTTTTCAACTTGACAAAGGCTTATAAGTCATAATGTGTACAAACACGCTATATCCAGCGTGTGTAATAAAATGAAATAAAGGTCAAGCTGGATTTAGAGACTAAGGTCTCGGACTGCGGTAGAAGGTTGCAGGTTAGTGCGCCTAAGTTCTTAAGGAACCTAAGTGTTTTTAGTGGATGGCTTGCAAACACTTAATCTAATTATGACAAACAATATTTACATTAAGCTGCTAGCTTTATATTACTTATTGCTCAAAACAAAACAAAAACATTGCATCGACAACATGGTCAAATCTTAAATTAGAAAATTACTCGAAACAACCTTTAATTGAAAGAAACATTTTCATTCATGAACTATTTATCCATCGCCAGTCCTAGATACCAGCAGAATGGTAATAAGAACGTACACTTGTACTTAAAGATTTTTTTACTGACAAACAAAGTTACATGTTTCCAACGAACATATTAGTAAAACATACTTAAGAACTATTTTCCTGAGATGAGAAAACGAAGTAAAATAAGTGTTGGGAAGATCGCAAGTTCGTACCCCGTAGTCAATGATGAATATTATAGTTCAAAAGAAAATAACATTGAAATAGTTAATTAAAATATGATAAAATTTCATAGAACAATTTTTAATTTTAAAAAGCAATTTAAAAAAGAGCAAATTGTTTAAAAAGAGCATGACTTGTGTGTAAGCAATAACATGCATTTGTGTATTGTATTATTACATACTTTGGAAAATTTGTAAAGTAAAACCATAGTAAAAAACTATATAATGTAAACTGGTTTTGTACAATTTCCCTACGGTACATTTGCTTGACAGCTCATTTTTTCGACAAGTACGTTTATATGATAGGTATGTTTGCCAGATAGGCTCCCTTACCCGAGAGCTCATTTGTTCGACAGTTCAACAAAAGAAAATCAAAGAAACATGTTTCTAAAAATAAAGAAAATATTTTAAAAAAATTAAAAGATTTTAAAAAATAAAAAGATTTAAAAGAAACAAAACAGAATAAAAAAAACGAATAAAGTAATTAAAAAAACTATTTTTGTTGTTGTTGTAGTTCATTTACGTCACACTAGAGCTGACAGTGGGCTATTGGCGACGGTCTGGGAAACATCCCTGAGGATGATCCGAAGACATGCTATCACAATTTTGATCCTCTGCAGAGGGGATGGCACCCCCGTTTCGGTAGCCTAACGACCTGCACGCGAAGTCGAGCATTTTACGGTAGAACAATTTAACGAGGACAAATACCGCACACCCTCGGTCCCTACGCAGACTGATCCAAGTGGTCACCCACCCGCACACTGACCGCAGCCAGCGATGCTTGATTTCGTTGATCTGCTGGGAACCGTGTCTTAACGATCAGTCCACTGTGGGACAAAAAGAAAGTAAAAATATACTAACAAAAATAATTAAAACGAAACAACCTATACTCGTCTTATTCGTAACCGTCACGAAAATAATGTACATGTCGGAAGAAGAAACTGTCGAGCAAATGTACACGTCGGGGTAAAAGGTACCAGTCCGGCAAATGCTAGGAAAGCGTAGTCGAGCATTTGTACTGTCGGGCAACCGAGTACCTGATGTAAACATGCCATTATTGCGAAAAGGTTAAGTTATCACTGTCTCTCCTTAATCCTTAGTTATGATAATATGCTATAAATGAAAACATATAAACGTGTGTATTACATGTTTTTATTATTATTTGCATTTGATTTCAAAAATAAAAAAAGTACATTTAAAACAATTCAATAAATATTAATGACAATATAATTTTTTTTAAATAATTACAACAATCAACAAGTCATTTGATTATTTTTTTTTAAATTTATAGAACATTCATACACTTTAAAAATATTTTATTTACTTTTCCTTTATTTACATAAGGAAGAGACTAAAATTCAAACAACAAACATGTTTCGTTTAACATGCATATATTATCATAACATATAAATAACACATTTTAAACATTTATTTTATAAATAATCTAATCATCCAACTATAACAAGCAAACGAATAACTAGTTATCTTGCATTTAGCAAGAGATAGAATCTATCAAATACAGAAAGTTTAAATATAACTTTAGCTAAAAGCATTTAGTTGTCAACTGTGAATTCTCAAACGCTATTTATCATTTATTTTTTAATTATTTTCTTTAGAAAACAGGAAAGAATATTAAATGACATCTATACAGAATTACGGACGTGATAATATACAATTGTATCACCCGACGTGATAATATAAAATTGCATCACCCGACGTGATAATATACAATTGCATCACCCGACGTGATAATATTAAATTGCATCACCCGACGTGATAATATAAAATTGCATCAATCGATAACTCAAATGTTCATCATTTTCATAATTATATAAAAATGTTAAAATCATGGTACACTATTTTTTCAGCATCAGTTTAATAATTTAAAAATATGAATTGTCTAGAATAAAATATATTGTAATTTAGAAAGTTTAAAATTTTCAAAAACGAATTACTAGCGTTTTCCTTTGGAAGATAATAAATATTTAATAAATGGTGTATTTCATGTTGATTGTAAGGTACTACAAGATTATCTAAAAAAATAAAAGAATTTTTAAAAAGACAATGAAAAAAAGGACTTTTTTAAACAGAGGAAATAATTTATTTAATCTAAAGGGTATTATAATCATACTTTTTATTATTAATTTATGAGTTTTTAAAGAATATGATTTTTTAAACGTTACGGATTTAACGGCTCTTTACATTTTTATGCAAAGGATTTCAAAAACCAATAAGAACATTTTTCTTTCGTAGATAATAAATATTTAACAAATAGGATGTTTTTTGCTGATTTTAAGGGAACAGCATCTAAAAAATGCTAATTTTAGGGATTTAATAATAAAAAACTGAATTTCTTAAAAAAAACTTAATTAATTTAATTTAATAGTTGTTAAACCATGCTTTTTATGATTAATTTATTAATTCATAACGAATAATTTCAACGTTTTAAATTTAACTGTTCATTACATTTTTATGTAAATGTTACATTTTTATGTTATAGAACTTAAAAATTGAAATGAAATATTTTATGTAAAAGTAATAGATGATGTTCTTCATTCAAAGATCAATTTTAGTTCGGGGTTATTGAGCTTCGAAACTTTCAACTAGCACGAAAAATGTCTTCCTTTCTGTTATTTTTTCAGAAAACATTCGGAGAGAAATTTTTTCGTGTTAGCCATTCAAATTTTACAGGAATGTTAACCTATAACATTGCTTTTTTTTTGTTCTCAAAGTTCTCTCTTTCATGCTTATGAATTTTTTCATAGCACAGGACATAATTGTCCATAGTACGTTAAAAGTTTGAAAAACAAAAATATTCTTATTTTCAAACTCTCAAATTCTTTTTTCTAAAAATATTCTTATTTCTCATAACGATAAAATATCCACCAATGCATTTAATTGGGAAAAAAATACTAGAACTCATAAAACTATCAAAATTATTACTTCAAATTTAATTATGAAACAAATAAATTAATCTGTAATCAACCTTGGTCACCTCGTGAATTGGCAAAAAAATAAATTTTTATAAAAAACTAGAAAGTGCATTTTTTACGAAGAAAAATATGATACTTAAGAAGATTAAAATGCATGTTTCACTTTTTGAATCCATCCTTAAGGAATTTTAAAATACTGTGAATGTTGAAATTCAAGATAAGAATCTTTAAATCATATCTTCTTTGATGAATGAGGGAAAGTCTTTACGTTTTTTAGAAATGTTGTTCTGAAAATTCCCTGTCCTCTCCGGTGCAAAGAGTGAGGTACGGTTAAAAGAAGTATGGTCTCTCTGAAAAATAAAGGACACAGTATATTTAAATCCAGCAGATAGGTGAAATAATTTTTTATAACCGTCGTTGAACAGCCGACCCAGTTATGAGTTAACGACTACCAGTGTTCAATTCCGCAACCTTGTAACTTTGAACCCAATCCAGAAGACTAGGGAACTCCTGAATCAAGTACTGGGAGAAATTTGCCTTCGTGGAGGAATTTTTTTTTTTTTACGGAGATAACCCGCGTTTGCGTTACGTGCAGAGGAAAACCGCCAAAAACTCCAACGGTTAGCCTGGTGGCAAGGGGACTCTAGCCAATAATCCGTCTACCACTGAGGATATTCTACGTCAGTACCGTGGTCGGCGCGAGCCGGGTGTGGAACTCTTAACGACCAGCCATCGCTTGGATTCGAAACCGGGTCCCCTCATTCGGAGGCGAGAGCTCTACCCCCTGAGCCACCACAGCACCTCTAACACCTATTTAAAAATAACTATTTTGGATATTTTATGCATGCAGTTTTCTATTTTAAACGATGTATATCACTTCCAGTAATATATGCCACCCACTCGCTTCGCTCCCGGATCCCCAATATTACTTTTCATTCCTTTTGGTTTCTTGATGAAAAGCAGATTATCATGTAATGAATCATTCTATTTTCAATAATATTAGCCATATTTCATTAATTATGCCCTTATTTAAATAAAACTTTATGGATTAGTAAATGGTATATTGATTATATTTATTTTATAATTGGTGTAGTAATTATAGCAAAGAAGGGTGTTTCTTCTGAAAACTTAATACCCTAGATTATTTTTTACCGAAGACTTCGTTATATTATTATAAAGGATGTTTTATTGGAGTGATATACTAAAAATTGATTTACTTTCCTTCTTTCTGGAGAAAAGTGCGGGTGATATGAGTAGGAGAATTTAGTTTCTTCTAGACAGGCAAGTGGGCATTGTTCCGGATGTTTTTCTTTGCGCTTAATTGAATGAGACGATAGGGCAAAAAGTTTAGTAGTTATAAGGGTTTTATGTGCAAAAAGTACAAATTTGTGCATATTTATACATCTGATACTGATATCTGAACAAGTGAGACACTGTTTTCAGTATATTTTTTAGCGTTTTCCTTTGAAATGAATGAGACTGCATACGAGTCAATCGAACAAATAGTTCAAAATGTAAAAATGATTTTATGTAGATATATTTTGCTACGTAGGGGCTAACTGAACATGTAAGGTACATTTTGAACGAGTGCTATTATTGCTATGAGTTATATCTGAGAAGATCTGAGAGAATTAGATAAACAATGAATTAATATTTTAAGTTACATTTGTATCCTTGTGAAAACTGAAATGAAAGAAAAAGTGCATATTAACAAATAATAATAGAAAAACTAATATGAGGTTTTATTAATTTTTTTCAAGTAGTATATTGGCAAGATAGAAATAGAACGGAATGCCAATAATCGAAAATAAGCTAATTCAGCGTCAGTAAGAAATACTTTACACTTACAACTGTATAAATCTATTCAACTATGCTACTTTTTTTACCGGTTTTTAAAAACATTTCCCATTTTTACATTGCATTCACATAATTAATTTCAAATTGTATTACTGATCAAAAAATTTAAAAAAAAATAGTTAAAAGTGTTAGGAGCATTTTAATAGCATGTAATTGAAAAAGTAATGCAAGTAAATACTATCACATTAATCATTATTTCTCTTCGAATCTTGGTATATATATATAAGGATACACAAGAATTAAGAATTAGGTATTTACTACCAAATTAATAAGGTCCCCTGTCCTCTTAAGTTTGGGGTCCATGAGGAATTTCACTTATGATTATGGTGAGCCAAAACGAATCAATCAATGTTTAACCTTTCTATGAAAAAATTTATGTTCAAGTACCCAGATAAAAATATCCTTACACTAATTGCACTGCACCAATCAAGAATTATTTACAGGCTTTGTAATGAAACATTGATATTAGGCTATTTAATTTTTTCCCCGTAGGTCAGTGTTTCCCAAAGTGTGCTACGCATACCCCCAGGGGTACGGGAACAGTTGCAGGGGTACGCGTTCTTATGCGATACGAGTCAGTATGCGACCAGACAGTTCTTATGCGACCAGATATCTTTGCAACAAACGAAATTTTCAAAAAAAAATTTTTTGAAAAAAGCTAGCCATGAAAATTTAAGATTATGTATTTTTCTGTTGGCTACTTTTTGCAGAGCTAACAGTTAATAACTAGTGGCGTCAACAGCCAGTTGTGACTTTTAATTTTTGTGTAATATTTTTATACTGAAAAATACATTCATTTTTTATTAGTGGTTCACAGCGTTACGAAAAATTTAGAAAGGGTACACTAAAGTCATAATTTTGGGAAACACTGCTCTAGATAATAGAACAGAATGAAAAAATTTAATAAACTATTAATTAAACATTGATATTAGATTATATTACTGCATTTCTTAAAGAACAAAGTGAAACGAAAACAAAACAAATCTCACGTAAGATATTTTTACCAAAATTGTATTGGAGGAAATTTCCTAATGTTATTGCATTGGTCTAAAAGGATATGGGACCTTATTAATTTGGCCAATAAATATCCAAATATTGGATACCAATAAATTCTTGCAGAGTAAGGAATCGATATCAATAAATGTCTGCAGAGAAAGGAATTGATACTAATAAATGTCTCCAGATTTATGAAAAAAATTCCCCAATTAATATTCTTTACACGTAATTACCTACATTGTACACACAGTTCAGTTTTTAACAGTACAAAACGTATTTTACTGAAATTGAATTTCTTAACGGGTTTCGTTTTTCAAAAGAAAAAAAAAAGAATGAAAAAAATATTTTATTGTGATTACCTCAGAGAAAGTGGTGACAAGCGTTTTCTTGGAGCTTCGATGGTGGAGGATGGATGTGAGTGAGATTCCTGAACTGTCATTGGCCGCGTGAGCTGGAGTTCGGCAACTATACACAATTTTCGCCAAATGTTGTTTGAAAAGTTTTGTTGTGAGAGTATATAAAACTGGATTTAAAGCCGAATTCACGGGCAGGAGAAATACAGCTACCCATGCATAGAGATCCTTTTGGATGGGAACTCCTGGAAATGGGAGCAATGTCAAATAAAACAGTTTCTTCATTTCATTTTGGTAATGCATAGCTCAAAAATTTTCAGTAACAATGCTGATTCTTTTAGAGTGTATTTCAAATTCTTTTATTTGCATTGTACTTTAAAATTTCGGAATGGTGGCATTTTGAAACCTTTTCAACTGCATATGATTCGGAGCAAAAAAAATAGCTCCATGTTAAAGACACTTTGAGATTTTACAATGATTTAACTTTATACAAGTTAAAAGTGGGTGTTAAAATTTTATTCACTTTATAGTTACAGTAATTCGATCCTTACTATTGCAAAAATCTTTCTATTAAAATTTAATTATAAAAAAATCTTAGGAAAAATGCATAAAAATAATAAAAATTTTTGTTTTTGTTTAAAAAAAATTAGTTAAAGAACGTCTTTGTACTTATTCATAAGTCATAGAAAAATCTGACCTGAAACTCTAAATTATATATTTCTGTTTTCAGAAATCTTCCAATTCTTTTTTTAAGTTTGACTGCTCATTCGAAGTTATTCAAGCTACCTTTCAAATTAAGACACCATCCAAAAAAGAACATTTACTGGATACACTAATTAACACTAGAACGACTGACATTTTTACGTACCTAGAATGACCATTGAGACCATTTTGACCGTAATAAGGAGAGAGCTTAATTGTTTGCTTTTTAGTTTAAATATTATTATAAAAAGTTAGAAATGGTCATAATTAATAACTTTAACAGTCTACAGTAGTTTTAATGGTATTATTTTCGAAATATTAAAAGAATTTCATTAATGTCAAGGTCAATTGTCTATTTTTTTACTGAAAAGTCAATTTTCTTAAGAATTGACATTTCGGGAACAATAATAACATCATGATACAGTTAAATGCGATTAAAAATATTAGCGCATGATTTGAAGCAAAAGTGACAAACGAGAATTTTTTAACGTTTTCTACAGATAGGCTTTAGGCATAACAACCATATTTGTTATGTGTCTGCTAAAAAAGACACTTCTTGTAATTTCAAAATAGTCGGTGGGACAGGCAAGTAGCGTCTTTCTAGAAAAATATAGCCAGCTCAATTCGTTCACAAACCTCAAAATGAAGGCACTTCTATAGAAACTTGGGAAAAGTAATATGCTTTGAGAGATATTCAGAAAAATTTGCAAAGTAAGAAAAATTAAAGTTGCCAAAATTAAAAGGCCATGTTCTAGAAATCATCCGTGTCTTTCACAACAGGCTTATTAGATGAAACACATCCATATTTTAAAAAAAAACTGCAGATGCAGATTAAGAAGATGCAGACATTTATTTTACAATGATATTATAATTATTGCTTTCTATTTCTGTTCATGAATATATATTTTTGTAAAAAAAGTGCAAGGAAGTTTGCTAATTGCTAGGACTTCTTTATAATTTTACCGAATTGTAATAACTATTGAAAATCCTTCTTTTTTTAAAGTTTTTGCGAGCGTATTAACCAATAAAAGAATACTTTTTTTCTGAAAAGACTACGTTATTTCGAATCAAGAGAGGTGGAATTTATTCATAGTTTTATTCATTAGTAGTCTAAAATTAGGTTTTATATCCGACAGTTGAATACGCTGTATCTAATTTATTCTATCCTAGAACTGTATCTAATTTAGTTTTAAATTAATTTTCGGTGTAAATACATGAGCTGAAAAAGAAGTAAACAATTATGGTTTTCGCCGAATTATGGTTTTCGTTAAAATGACAGAAAGCTAAGGAACTGCTATAAATATTGAAAATGGTTACCAGGGAAACATATTTCTTTATTAACAAATTTAATTATTTTATTTCGATATGAAAAGCGTAAGGGGAAATTTACAGTTTTTCATAAAGGAAGGTATTTTTCATAATTATATTGTTATTAGGAAAATAGTTTTTAAAAAAATCCTTCTTTGCAACGGCAATTTACCTTAATTTCATAAAGAGAATCGAAATAATATATAAATAATGGATTATTAATTCGTTCTAATGACAAATAAAGATTTTAAAAATTATTACTGAGAGGTAAAAACAAGTCCTAACTTTCTGAACCATTTTTATCTTTTCTCTAAGACCTTGGGTTCCGCGGAACACCAATTGGGAACCGCTGCTTTAGAAGAAAATAAGAAAAAAACATCCACAGACAAAAATTTCCCAAATGATATTAAAGAAAATAATAGCTTTTTAAATTTACTCAAAGAACAAGCTATTTATTAAATAATAGTTTACAAGAAAATAATGACTTTCATTAAAATAATGACTCACAATAAAAACAAAAGTTACTTACCTCCCATGGCTATGACTTTAATGAGAACGATTGGCACCCAACATAGAAAATCAGTGCCCACAATGAAAGCAAATCTTTTGGCTATAGTTCGATCCTGTAGCTGCTGTGTTGATCTCAATCCTATTTTTGAGTTAGAAATTGTGAAAAACATGGAGATGTAGGCGAAAAGAATGAAGAGAAAGGCGGCCAAGTTGAGGCCACAAAACAGAAAAGTTGAATATTCCCAAGCCTAGGCATGCAAGGAAAAGAATGAATGAAAGATACGATAGTTTTCTTCTCTTCAAGTAAAAGGAAAATGGTAGAAATCTTATAAAGTAGCAAATCATAAAATTGTATGGATGTTTCTCAGTTCGCATTGCTATGTATGCGAAGTTTCAAGGAATATAATACTCCGTGTAAATAGAAAAGGCTAGTCAAGATTATGCGATTTCCCTCTCTCATCACACTTTTCCCCTTTCCGTTTCCATGGTTACGACAAATCTTGTTTGTCGAATCCATGAAAAGAGTAAAAGTGTGGAGAGTGGGGAAATAACGGAGCTTTGAGACGACTATTTACAAAGAGTATAGTAAAGTACGTGTTTTTAAAAAATAATACCAGTTTCCTTTCCTTGAAGAGAATATTATTTGTTATTAATATTTTTGAAGGAATTAAAGAGCAAAATTGATTAATAAAAATAAGAAGGAAAAGAGATAATAAGAGGGCCATCACCATCTTAGTTACTTTGAAAATATTATGTCATTAAAGTTTATAAAGTGTGGCAAAGTATCTGAGACAGACAGCTTTTGGAGGCCGCTGTTTTAATACAGAATGTAGATTGATTTTTTTGAAACTTAAAGCAAATTGCTGAGAGTAAAAAAAGACAGGTTTCCCAGACATGATTTGGAAAAAGAGCTATTTGCACTTGTGGTATAACTTAAACTATCAGTAACGTAAACTTATATGCATAATGTTTCCATTCAGCTCTAAAAAACTATTAAATGTCCAAAAATAACTAAAGCATTTCTATACGTTTCAATTTTCAAACATAGTTTTGATTTTAATGGCACACAACAATATTAGTAGTTAAAAGTAATTTACTTTTTTAAGTTTCGCAATTCAATCCAAGAAAAAAAAAGCTTAAAAATAAACTATTTAATTTTTTTAAAAACTTTTCATTTAAGCTAAATTACACAGCTTAAAGATTTGATTAGTTAACAAAATTACAATAGTTCTGTTTCTATTATAATATAATTGAGTAGTTGGAATTTTATAGATAGAGTTTCAGTATTTTTTGTATTGAAAAAAGATTACTATAGCGAGTCTGTTAGAAAAATAAACTTGGATCCTCTTCTGAAAGATCATTCTCGTTTATCATAATACAAGAATTTAACTCTTATGTCTTATTAACAAAAAATGGGAAATTTTTAATGATAAAAATTCTTTCCGGGATACATTTCTTTTCGTAGTGACATTTCGAAATAAAGAATAATTATCTCAAGATAAAAATTATTCTTTATAATGTATCTATATCACTAAAAAATAAAAATACAAATTATAATGAGTTTGAGATAAAGAAAAAAACAGAAAACAAACATACCGATATGGAGTAAAATATAAAAATGCCTTATAAATAGATATATGAGTCGCTCAGAAGCCAATGTGGTTAAGTTCAAAACACAAAAATTGAGAAAATTAATGATTTTTGATACATTAGTTTTTAAAATTCGTGGTTTATTAATTTAATTAGAAAAGTGTATAAAGTCTTTTTTCGAGGTGTAAACTCTGCAAAAAAACAAGATATGTACAGGATGTGTAAATTAAAACGTAAGTATTTATTGAAATAATGACAGCATCTTAAAAATTTTAGGACTTATACCTTTTGGCAGCTGAAAAAGATAAGAAATATATATAGTCTACTAGTATAAACGAACTTTTTTTTTTCACAATCATCACTAGATACAGTGACTAATAGAAAATAAACTGTTGGATTATTTCAAAAATTGTTTTTTACTTCAAAACTAGAGTGGCACTTTTCTTTGTTTTGGGAAATGAAAATAAAATAAATAAAAAAAAAACTAAAAATACCACATTTTAAAAAAATACTACAAAAAATACCATACCCCTTTTTTTGGTGAAAAAATACTACCGTAGTATTAAAAATACTACGTCTGGCAACCCTGATTACTATGAATTTCTTCTTTTTCAGTGTTACCAACAAATATCGAAAGAAGAAGAATAATTTAATTTTTATTTCAAAGTTTATGTAAAAAAATACTGATAAAAGGTGGACTTATTCACAATTGCTTCTGATTTTATTATACAATATAATCAGAAGCTAAAAAAGGGCTGTCTAACCTAGAAAAAAGTAACCAACGAATAAATCCTTTAATAACTAAGAAGATTATTATTTATTTCATCAAAATTTCCAAAAATCAGAAAATATCAAAAAATGGACTTAACCGCATTGTCTTCTGAGCGGCTCATATATTAATCTAACAGTTAACAAAAAATCACTATGAAGAAAGAAAAAAAATAAATGCATATATGATAGAAAAATATATAAACTATAGAATACAGAAATTATTTACGAGAAACATTGGCAAATTTTAAAAATAAAATCAACCATGAAGGAGATTATATTTAATGTGTATTACTTGTCCAAATGGATCATGAATCTGTAGAGGTAGACACACTCCATTATTCCCATAAAATTCGTCCCCGTAGTATCCAATGTCTAACAAAGGTAAAGCTGAAAGTAATATAGCCAGAGACCAGACTGATCCCATCGCTGCGGATGCCGAAGCGATTGTTCTTCGTTTCAAAGATAGCGGATATAATATAGATGTGTATCTGTGGACATAAAGAATAGTTGCATTATTTTCTTTACTCACCATCAGTGTTGTATATTGTAAATATGCTATCGATTGGAAAGTTTAGTAGAAGAAACCAAATAACAATCAAAATATGATCGAAGTTTGACATTTAAAAACATGTTATACGTAAAGGTTTTTTTCCCCAGATCTTTGAATAATAAAAAGAATCTGTAGGGAATTATGCTTCGTAAGCAACTTTCTAGCAATGTTTTAAAAATCCTGTGGTCCTAAATTTACTATATCACTTATATTTTTCCACAGTAGTTGGTTTCACTACTACATCCCTTTCTCTTATGAATCTGATTTTCAAAAATATCACTTAGCACTTTTTTCCACGGTAGTTGGTTTTTCAACTACATTCCATGTGCATTTTTAAAAATTAATTTTGTAGATGGTCTCATTTTTCTTTGTTATTCATTGTAGAATAAGAGACTAAATATGACATAAACATTGACTCTAGACCAGCGATTCCCTAAAGGTGTACCGCGGATCCCCAGGATTCCGTAATTGTTATTATATAAGTTTTTTTTTAAATATTCATTTACAAAATATATTGGGCTGGGATAGCCTGGTCGGTAGGGCGCTGGACCCGTGTCCGAAAGTTTGTGGGTTCGAACCCCGACAACCGAAGACTCCTCGTGTAGTTGGTGACTGATGCACGTTAAAATTCTGTCGAGTCGCAAAGTCCTCCATGTTTCCATAACAAATCAATACCTCTGGGGGTACTGGATTGAAGATCGATCGCTCTCCGATTCAGGTCAAAATTACGATCTGTGGATGAATGAATGGGTCCGCCTTATAAACATGTGTGACGTATAGAGTGGCAGAAGTCGAATTCTTGGCCATAGATGGTGCTGCTGAAAAACAAGAATCGCACACTCTGCCTTAAATCTGCTCGGTTTCACTAAGCAGGCTTGCCGTGTTGCAAGTGGCACTAAAACCAACTAACCAACCAGGATTCCGTGAAAGAGTTAAAGGGGTTGAGGGAGCTAGCACTTTTTATAACCAGTGATGAGTTAGGAAACCTCTGATTATATTAATATCCAACCTATAATTCATAATTTATTTAATCTACTGGTTACCTTAAAGAAATTATTCCATGTAAAATGCCAAGGAAATAGAAAAGACATTTTTAAAAGAAAAGGTAATATTTTAAATAACAATATGCTGAATAAATTAGGAAAAGAATAAGCATTTATAAAATATTGCTTCAGTATTTCCAACGCTCTTTTAAAAAATAAAATAAAATAATCAAATTATTTAGCAGAGAAATATATTTCACCAATAACCATTTTCAACGTTTATAGCATCTCTTTTAAGTTTTTACTTCGTAGTAAACCATAATTCAGTTCATTTTATTCACCTTCAACTAATGTGCTTACACCAGAAAGAAATTCATAACTAGACTAGATATACTATAAGGACTGCAAATTTAATTGATGGACATAAGACCTGATTTAAGATTATTAATGATAAAAGGGTGAAAAAGTTTCATTCCGCTAATTAGATATTTTAAATATAGTCTTTCATAGGTTTATAACGCTCACTATTTCCTTAGTATAATTTATTTATAAAGTCAGCGTTCTGTCGAAAGAAACTTTACTATTTAGAGTTACGCAGCCGGAAATAATTAGGAATCAATGCTCTATACAAGTAAAGTATTGTTTTCTCTTTTTTTTTACGTTTATTCAAGTGGAACGATTTAATATGACGAAGAATTTAAAATTTTCAGGTTGACATTTCTATCTAGACAGTATTAATCAGCATTAGATTCATAAAAATATGTTTATTTTGCATTTTTATTCGTCGTTTAGTAAAAGATAGCTCAGAAATTTAATATTGAAAACTTAAAACTTTTAGAAACTTAAATATCCACAAAAAGTGCTATTTAACAACAAATTATTTTATAGTCTTCACTTAGATGTAAAAAATAGCACGACTTCGCACGCCATGTTTAAATACCAGGGAAGGAGAGGCATAAAAAACGTCCCGTATATAATGCATGAGTTATGAATAGAATCTTTGTGACAAGTAAAATATTTGTTTTATCTACTACCGTTCGTCTTATTCTATTCAGCATAGTATTCAGCATAGTTCTATTCAACCATAGGAAACAATGTATATTTTATCTAGATGCCGTTGTTGTTTCTATTGCCTACTTTCCATGCCAGCAAACCTGCTTGGGAAGCCAAGCGAATTTAAGGCAGAGGGTGCATTTCTTTTCTTTCAGTGGCGTCATCTATTTACAAGAATATTATTTCAGCCACACACACACACGTCCTATTCATTCATCCACAGATTGTAATTTTGACCTGAACCAGAGAACGATCAATCTCCAATTTAGTATCTCAAAGGTATTGATTTGTTATAGGAACTTGGAAGACTTTGTGTCCTCGACAGATTTAACCTGCACGAGTCACGGGGTTTTCTCGCTCGGTGGGGATTCAAACTCCCGTTCTCACGAATACGAATCCAACATCCTACCACCCTGACTATCCCGACAATACTTATTTAGATAGCTACTAGATATCAATGGCGAAAAAAGTACTTATGAAAATTGCCCCTTTTCGATACAAAAACCCTCACATCATCTTAACTACTATTGACTCTAATAACTCGCATTTGGCATAATTTGATTACGAAAAATACATTGGAAACAAAACCTCCTATCGCTAGCCGACAATATTTAAAGTTTTTCTGAAACTTAAAATGGAAATGAATGTTGTTTCAGAAACACATAGAGATATTTTATCTTCATCATATAAAGTATTCTACGCATTTAAAATAAAAATTGAGCAGTCATTTATGAAATACAATAGAAATACGTAAAATATATAT